TATTTTTGATGGAGTTTCGGTTGCCAATGAGATTATTGAGGAGATTAGAAGGAAGAAAAGTAAATGTTTGCTTTTTAAAGTTTATTTTGAAAAGGCATATGATTCAGTTAATTGGGAGTTCCTTCAGTACATGATGGAAAGGATTGGTTTTCCATTAAAATGGAGGAAGTGGATTGTTGAATGTGTGAGCACTACAAGAATTTCTATCCTATTAAATGGCAGTCCCACTGATGAGTTTGGGGTTGGCAAGGGACTAAGACAAGGAGATCCACTTTCTCCATTTCTATTTCTTATAGTTGTTGAGGGCCTTAATGCATTGATGAGCAAAGCTGTGGAATGTCATGTGTTTAGTGGCTATTCAGTTGGACACCAGTCAGTTAGTGTGTCTCACCTTCAATATGCAAATGACACTTTGATTATTGGTGGAGCATCTTCACTTAATGTTTGGGCGATAAAATCCATCTTACAGATTTTTGAGTTGGTGGCGGGTCTCAAAGTTAATTTTCATAAAAGTAAGCTCTTTAGACAAGCTAAGTTCTAGGTTTGGGGGAAAAGTTGTGAAGGTTAGAGTGAAAGAAATGATAGAGGATGATGAATTCAGAATATCTAGAGAATTTTATCTCTTTTGTAGTTGTAAATATTTATCTTGCTTAAAAAAAAAAGTATAAAAAAAAAGATGAAAAAAAATTGAAAAAATGAAAAAAAAAAAAGAAAAAAAAATCCAAAAAAAAAGAGAAGAAAAAGAAAAAAAATGTATGTTGTACATATTTGTTTTTTTTTTTTCATTTGAGAAATTCCTCTTTGATATATGATTAGGGTGGTTTTAAAAGAAGATACTTGGAAAATTGGCTTAGAAGAAAAAGTGGTATTGAGAAAAAAGTTGTAATAGCTTGAAGTGAAACATCATTTGTGCTCTCCATACCTCTAAGTGCTTTGATTGAATATCCAGAAAAACCAATATTCATTCATAAGCCAAGCCAAGTCACAACCCTATAAAAGACCTTAGTGATCCATGATTGATCCATGCTTATGTGACATGATTAGATGATATTCAATGTTGACTTCCATTGATGTAGTGTATGAATTGAGTGAAATACCCACCTAATTGAGAGAGATACACTTTTGGAAGGTTTTTACTCAATGGGTTGCTTGACTGATTTGCCAATTTCACTAATTCTTGTTGTGTTGACCTTGTGTGACTTTAGTATTTTTGTATTGTGGGCACCAGATTAAGTGAAAGATTTGATTCCCTTGTTTTTCTTTTTATGAAATTTGAAGCTTGCATCCTAATTATGTTGTTGATTTGCTTCAAGATTTATGTGATTAAAAGGATGTTATACTGTAAGTGGTTTTAAGTTTTTAAGTTAGTTGACTTTTGCTTGAGGGCAAGCAAAGTTTTAGGTTTGGGGGAGTTGTTAGTTGTCATTTTTACTTGAATTTCATGAATATTATTGTGTAAAAATTGGCATGCTTTCATTTTTCCCCTTTTAAATGGCTGAAGGATGTGAATATTATATATAAATATGTAAATTATGTTATAGAAATCCAATCCAATCAAATTATAGTAATTTTTTGGTTAATCATGATGGTTTTGCTTTGTAGGTTAAGAGAAGAGAAATCAAGAAAGAGAGAAGAAATGAAGTTCAAAAAGACTCATGGAAGAAAATATGTTTATCTCTATCAACTCAACAAGGCTTAAGCTATATCAGAAGGGCTTAAGCCATTCCAGAGACATTAAGAAAGCAATCTGCCAAAAAAAGGCTTAAGCCATTCCAGAAAGGCTTAAGCTATCTCAATTCCTTCAGGTTGAAGTATTTAAAAAAGGCTTAAGCTATTTCAGAAAGGCTTAAGCCATTTCAATTCCTTCATGGTGAAGTATTTTAAAAAGGGCTTGAGCCGATCAGAAATAGCTTAAGCCAATTTGTGGCAGTAAATGACCCCTTGTTATAAATCATAACATATAAAAGGGGGGAAAAAACGGAGAAGAGGCAGGAGCTTTTGGAAGAAACAACACACCTGAACCATCTCTTTCTCTCTAGCCTCAAAGATCATCCAAGTTGAAGATTTTGGTGGTGATTCCGACGTTTCGGGAACGGAACGACGACAATTTCTACTAGATTCTTCTTCTTCTTCTTTTGTTGGTTGGCTCTCATAGAAATGAGTGGCTAATCTTTTCCTTTTGGGATTGGATGTAACCTCTTACACCTTAATGTAACTCTTGATTTTCACATATATGTTATGATCTCTTCTACTTATTAGTGATTCATTTTCGTTCTTAATGCCTTTACGTTTTGATCACTCGTATTTGGAGCTTTGATTTAGAACTCGATTGGAAAATGTTTTCTAGATCATGATTTAAAATGAATCACCTAATGGTTTAAGTTGCTAGGAATAGAGCTAAAATCATTAGTCTTTAAAGGATTTTCTTAATGCAGGTTGTCCCTTATTTAAATATGCAAGGAATTGATATTTAAAGGGGAAAACTTAGAATCTCTTTACTAAGGAATTAGTATTGAGTGATTGTAATCCTAGATAATATTGTAGGAGAGGGATTAACATATGGATGCTTATTAAGATTACAAAGAGGTGTAGTAGGTGAAATCCAGTCCCAAGCATCTCATATCTGAATTTCTTTAATACTTATTTGAATTTGCATATTTGTCATTTGTTTTAAGTTCTACTACTTTTAACTTTGAGTTTAATGAATCAGATGTTGAACATGTGTGAATATACCATATATGTATTTATTGTGTTTTTTTTTCTAAATTAATTGAGAATCAATCAATCTACCTAGTCCCTGAGGAGACGACCTTACTCATCACTGTTACAAGTTGACTCTGGTACACTTGCCACGGGATCAACAGTCTGAGAAACAGTTATCGTGTTGTGGATTGTCATCCAAATTTGCTATTTACCTAGCAAGCCCAAAAAGGTTATGTGTTGTTGGTTCGGTAGGACCTAGTCACTTAGACTGCTCACCCTGTGTTGTAGGAGATCTTCAAGTTGAAATGCATGACGACGCATATGTGTTGATGAGTTGAATATGTGCTGATGTGATGATAAAGTGTTGTTATGTGATGATGTGTTGATGTGATGATAATGTATGGTTATGTGATGATGTGTTGTAAGTTATAGAAAATGTGAGTAATATAAAAGTTGTTTGTTGTTTGCGTTGAATGTGATGATGATGAATCATAAGTTGTTGTGTTGTATATATATATATATATATATATATATACTATGTGTTGTTTATTTTACCTAGCTTACCCTTGCATGTTTTCATGTGGTTTAGACTGCGATGATCATACATTATATGAGAGCAGGGCAGAGACAGGCTGACATGTTGAAGATGGAGGCCACCTAGTAGCAAGAGGTGAAAATGTTTATATTTTATATATATATATTTATTTATAGCATTTTGGGCCATATGTGTGGTATATATGTTTATATTTTTTTACATTGCTATTTCAATATATGTATATGCGTAGTTTGTTGTGTGTTGCACAGCGTGGCAGCCATGATGAGTTATTACACTTCAAATCATAATTTAAGTTTTACCTATTAAAAATTACTAAAATTAACCTAATAATAAGAGATTTTGAGTAATATACATAAAATCTTAAATTCAAAATATGTCACTATCATTGTAATTTTTATGAATAAAAGTTAAATTAAACGTTATTTTACTTTCTTCCTTTCTCTTATTAAAGTTTTACCCATTAATTGTAGATTCTATTTTTTAAAAAAATGTAAAGAGTCACGTTCATCTAATATATAGAAATCCAATTTTTAATACACACATTTTCTTAACTTATTTCTGTTGTTATTAATGTATTTTTTCTTTTTTAGTGTGAGATAAACAAAATGGAAAATTTATTAATGTATTGTAATTACATATTCTTTATTTATAATTTTATTTAAAAATAATATTATATTATAAATAATTACTTTTTATAAAAAAAATGTTTTTATACTGACCAAATTGAATTTTACTTGAATCAATGATGCTATAAATAATAAATCATATGACAATGAAAATCAAATCGTGTGTATCACGATGCCTATGGATGTGGCCGCCGGCATGATCGCGTGGTGACATATTTTCCATTCACGTGATATCTCTATTCATGACTATTTATATATTTTTCTAATTTTTTTTTTGTTCGATAGCAGTAACTAATCTACTAATCTTCTTGTTACGTTGAAGACACCTCAAAGAATGAGATAGCTGACCTCAAGATTTAACGCAACTACATACACAAGATAGGATTCGAAATCATATATTTTTCTAATTTATCTTTATTTAAGTTTTTTTTATAGAGTTTAATAGATAAATACAGATAGTGTGGGAGCATTTTAAAAAAAACTTTATTTGATATTTTTTCATTACTTATTATATAAAAATTAATAAATTATTTACATTTAAATATTCACATTATCTACCACTTATAGAATTTTAAAGTATCTAGATGCATGACTATAAATACTTTTAATATTTATTGTTTCATTTAAAAACATTATGATTAAAATACCTTAAAAATTAAAACTAACTAAATGGTTAAAATATTACCATTATAAATACCACAAAAATATTAAAAATAAAACCACTAGTCACAATTTTCCTATTTTATTTAAAAAAAAACTTATAAATATTACCATTATAAATATTTAATTATTTGTTATAATTTATTAAAAAATAAAAATTTTAGTTAATTTTTGTTGTTCCGTTTTTTTATTTTTTATAAAATAAATGTGAAATAATTTTTAGATCGAGGCATAAAGATAAAAGGAAAATTTAGTTGGTTATTAAAATTAAAAATAATGACAGCGCCTGATGACGTGAGCAATAGAAAGGTCTAGAAGACGAAAGACAGTTAGGCATCCATCCCCATCGCCAAAGGTGGTTTTTTCTTTTGCTGAATAAAAAAGAAAGAAAAGGAGGAGAGATGAAATAATAATAATAATAATAAAAAAATAAAAGTTTGATAGTAATATTGGGATTCCGGTAAGTGAGAGAAAAACCCTAATAGGGCTTAGGTGGAGTATTAAGTTGCATCCGAGTGTGGAAGGGAATAGGTGCAGCATCAGCATCAGCAAGCGGCAACGACGTTGAATTTATGGTAAGCACAAGAATAAGGACGTGTCTGACACTGCTCAACAAACGTGGCATGCCTCTCTTTCTCTCCCTCATTCCCTAATTTTTTCATTACTCTTTTTATTATTAGTTATTACTATAATTAATTAATACATAACTAATTAAGTCGTCCTTGGTCCTTCAACCCAAAACGCAGAATGGCGGATTCAGAGCGATTCCAAAATCCCTGGATGGCTTCCGACCAAACTGCAACCCATGCCACGCATTTCAGGGAACGCCAATCTTCCAACTCTGACAATTTGGGAATCGGAGAGCGAGCTTTCTCTGCCTCCGGCGCCGCCTTCCTCTCCGCCATCATTGTCAATCCCCTTGATCTTGCCAAGGTCCTCTCTCTTCTCACTTAGAGACACAACGTCATGCAAACCAGATATCATGTTAATCACACTGTATATATCATTACCCTTAATTATCTTTTGCTCTATTCTCATTTGTTTTCCCTATTTATCAGACAAGGTTGCAAGCACAGGCTGCAGGGGTCGCTTATTCTCATCCCCTCAGTAATATGACTAGTCGAATGGCTTGTTTTGGCCCAAATATGGTACGTCAGGAACACAATTTGTTTTATGGGAATTATTTTCCCCCTGAAAATTTCTCTATCTGGATATAGTTGTTGTGATAGACAAAAAAACAAACTAATTCAATGTGGCATTTTCTTTAGAAGCTGTGTGGTTGAATGACCCTGCACCATTTTGAATCCAATTTAGTTGTTTCCATGCTAAAATTGGAATTCTCTTTTTTATTTTTGGGTTATATTTGTGCGATTAATTTTATCTTTTCAATATTGTTCCTCAGATGTTTGCTGATTTAAGATGTTCTCCGTCATGCAACCGGGCTGGAATCCAAGGCACAGTGTCAATTTGCCCTCCTGACTGTTTTCGCTACAAAGGAACATTGGATGTCCTCTACAAAATTATACAACAGGTTGGTGGTTTTATTAGATGGGTTGAAGCAGTCATTTGTGTGTATTAAGAACATCTGTGCTTGAAGTGGTCATTTATGTGTATTACATTTTTACATTTACAAATACGAACACATATGTTAATCAATGCTAGAGTGGTATTTCAGGAGGGGTTTGCTAGACTATGGAGAGGCACAAATGCAGGCCTGGCTCTTGCAGTGCCAACGGTAGGTTCACAAGTCAATCTATAGCTATTCATTGTTTTATTATTGCACATTATTATATAGTGAAAGCAAAGGAATTGACTAACCTAACCTGTGCTTAAATCAGGTAGGGATTTACCTTCCTTGCTATGACATACTTCGCAATTGGCTCGAGGGATTCACAGATAAAAATGCACCAACTGCAACTACTTATGTACCTCTAGTGGCTGGTTCATTGGCACGCTCTCTAGCTTGCGCAACTTGCTATCCTATTGAACTTGCTCGAACTCGTATGCAGGTATTTAAGATGATTATCCATATTATTTTGACACCCAGTGTGTAATACTTGTGGCTTTTGAAATTTCTAGTCATGAGGTGCAGTGCTTAATTAGGGCTCAGTTGTTATCCCTCTTTAATCTATTTATGTCAGTGGCAAGTTAACCTGCAATTCAGGGTTTATTTTTGGTTTCGAGAATGCATGAAGTTCTATTTATTTCTCCAGTGCCATTGTGCTAAGTCAATATTGCCATGATTTATCAGTTCAATTCCAATATCCAATGAACACCATCTGTCTTAAAGTTTTGATTGTGGCTAGATAATGTTTTAAAAATTTATTTTGGATACCTGATACTGAAACTTGTTTGTCATTGAGCTGTTGTTTGGATTGGTAAAATGAGGATGAGATATAATGGAACCTAATTTAACCAATTTCATGGTATCCATTCTCACTTTTTTCCGCTCCCAATCTCGGAGGAAAGGGATGGATCCAAAAATATGTTTTTTAATAGAGTAAATTACATTACTCTTCTGAAAAAATAACTCTACTATCTTCTTGTTAAAATATACAATTTAGCATAAATTCATAATAATTTTTAAAATAATAATTAAATATTAAATATAGATAAAATGTTAAAGTGTAACATTTGTATTTGTTAAGAGAGTAAAGTGTTTATTTTAACAAAAGAAAGGAGGGTGATGTAATATTTATATCTTTGAGGGGATGCTAGTGTAAATGATGTTTTGATAATAACTTTTTTTGTAACGGAAATTAGTGGAAAATTTTAAAATGAATAAAGCATCATATATTGAAATCTGTCAAGAAATGGAACTGAAATTTTTAACATGAGAGGAGAACAGTGTATTATTTGTATTTCTTAGGAGAGCGTGTAATTTACTCATTTCAATAAGATCATAAAGTCACTGTTTTGTCTTCCCAAAATTAAGTTTTTTGATTATCCAACCTTCAACTTTCTTGATCGTGGCTGGTTGCTAAAGTCCAGCTGCTTTCACTCTCCTCTCATCCTTGGCCAGGCATTACTTTTTCATCTTTCTTTGAAGCGGCTTTGTTTTTGTCTCCTTGCCACCCTACAACCACCATGAGTAACATGTCAAAGAGACAGCCATAGCTGCGATACCAATAGTGGTTCAAAGCTAAAGGGTCACAACAAGTGAAGCTTTTTCAGAGGTCAAAGGTATTTGAAAAATGAGGATAAAACCTGAGACTTGGAATGGCCAGTGGTTCCTGCTTGTTGCAGTAACCACTGTACTAGGGAATGATCCATTCATTAACAAAAATTTGATTGGAAAACAGGGCACAGAATTTCAACCCTATTTTTAGCATAACAATTGATTGATAAACTAAAACCAAAATATTTTGTGAAATTTTTTGCAAAAACATGGATGAATTTCTTTTTGCAGTTAATTTATTATTTCCTCAAATATCAAATCCATTTCATGATACATGCTACAATGAGATTATTCTAACCTAAATGAAGAAAGGTTTTAGTTTACTTGTATATACATATAATTAGTATTTGCTCATCATCATTTGTTGAAGTTCTTACAAAATTAGGTCTAAGTACTAAATTGGAGATAAGCCATTTTAAAGTAAGGGTCTTTATTATTCAACAATGGAATGAGAGTTTTTATTTTATTATGTTCTGGTCCATTCTATTATGATATATCCCCTCTAATAAATTACATTTCACCAATTCAAACTGGCTAGAATTGTACTTCTGTTCTACTGTGATTCATGTGGGGTTTTCTTTCATCATTTAATTTATCCTATCTGTTTAGTTGTAGATTCTTATTTTGATATTTGTTTTAAGGTAGCAGCGTTTCTAGTTTTATTTCAAATTCTCTTATCCAAGTGGTTTTAGAAGAAAAATGTATTTTCATATATTTTCTTTCCAGCTATATTTCCTATTTCATGAACTTTCTGGATTCATACTGTTCTTTGGAGAATTTATTGTTTTTCTTCTCTTCATTTTGGATGTAGGCATTTAAAGTGACTCAAATTGGTAAAAAGCCTCCTGGAGTGTTCCAGACTCTTCTAGGTGTTGTCTCGCATGTCAAGAGCACAAACAGTCCACAGAACAGCTGTAAGTGCTTAGCTTTTTGACTACATGAACATCTAAATGTTCTAATGGCCATAATAAACGTAAGCTGAAAAGAGCCTGCTTGCTTTGGTGTTTACTGTACATGGATTTGTAAGTTTGTTGGATTGATTGGTGTTTTTTTGGTGAACAAGGATTTGTAAGGTGAATTGGGCCTATGGATTTGTAAATTTTTCACGTGTAGTTCTTCAAGTATTTTTGGTATTATTCTTTGATCAGAAAGGGTTCCACTTTAGCTTTAATGCAAATCTTTATTATGTAGATTATTGAGTTGAAATTTCAATTTTGATTGGAGGACACTCCAAAAGCACCCAAGACATTTAAATTTTTTGTCCATGAATTTTTTACATGTCTCATCTGCTTGATTTGATTTTTCAATCCCTGTCAATAATGGCACTGGGCAAAATGCAATTATATATTGCAAGACTATAAACATATATAAATTAAAATGCTAATAAAGTTACTAATACAATCATTTAATTGTTATTGAATCTCTTCATCTCATAACAGTGCAAGGTTATCGTGTTCTGTGGACTGGCATGGGAGCTCAACTTGCTCGTGATGTACCCTTCTCTGCTATTTGTTGGTCGACACTTGAACCTGTGGGTTTCCTTCATGAACCCTTTGTTGTGGGAAGTTGTTTTTCTTATTCTTTGTTTTGTCGTGCTGAATACTCGTGCTTTGCAGACTAGAAGAAAACTTCTTAGTTTGGTTGGAGGTGATGATGCCAATGCATTGAGTGTTCTTGGGGCAAATTTTGGTGCTGGTTTTTTTGCGGGTACTTTAGCAGCTGGAGCTACATGTCCGCTAGATGTTGCAAAAACTCGAAGGCAGATTGAGGTTTGTTTCTGTTACTGATGTGATGTGATGAAAAAATCATTCACTTGTCTTCACATAAAAGTTTAAGCTTTTGGGATTGTTCGTTCATTCATGACACTTTGTCACTTGTTAGAGCTCCTATGACCAAGTGGCTTGCTACCTTCATTATTCTAATAAAAAGCTAAATTTCATCCCAAGTTAGGTGGGCTTGAGTCTAAAGGGCTCTTGCATAGAGGGATGTGTTAGAAACGTAATGCAAGACCTTTCATGTGTGTCCTTGAATTACCTATTCTTTAGAAACGTAATATAGGAGATTTTGCTTCTCTCTTTTGTGCTCTGTTTTCTTTAAAATAATTATTCCTTTGAATTAACGATACAATTTAATGTCTATTTGCCAAGTTGGTCTTATTCTAATGTCATCTTTTCTCCAAAAAATAAAATTGCAGACGGATCCTATTAGGGCATTGAAAATGACCACAAGACAGACATTGATGGAGGTGTGGAGGTATGACATAATTTGGATTCAAAATGCTAATTTTGACATTCTCAATGTTTTAATGATACAAATTGGATGCGAAGTGCCTTAACTAACAGCCTTGTTTTTCCCCCTCCCTCTGATCTGGTGCATGTCTGCTCATATCTTGATTTGAGATGTATAATAGTCTCGAGAACCCCTAGTATTTTTTTTCTTCTGACCACCTCAGTGAGAAAAGGGTCGATTATTATTGACATGATAGCTATAGTATTAACTTCTAGTCAGGATAGACATTATTTGAATTGATCGATGAGTTGACATAAATGATTACTGATATGCTATATCCGAACTAATTTTTGATATCTTTTTTCAGAGATGGAGGCTTGAAAGGATTGTTTACTGGTTTTGGTCCTCGAGTCGCTCGAGCAGGCCCCTCCGTTGGAATTGTGATTTCTTTTTATGAAGTTGTAAAGTTTGCTCTACATCATCGGTACACATCATCATGATTGGATCCTTGTTCTGCACACTTTTTTTTTGCTGCTAAAGCGCTTTTTATTCAGAGCCTCTGGAGATTGCACGGCATTTTCTTTTGGAATGGGAGTCATTCTAACTCTTCCTGACCATAAACTAACAACATACTTGACTAGGAAAATAACCAGGCATAGGACTCACTCTTAGGTTTTTGAGCTGTGTTTTTTTTTTTTTGCTGCTTTTGACAAGCAGAAATTTTGTTACGCTTGGGAATCTCCCCTGAAGTAAAATCCGAATAAATAATATGTGAACAAGCGGAGTTTTTTCCCCCAAAAATGCTACAGGCGCTCTAAATGTGACAGCTATGCTTAGCTAATTAAACAGAAGGAATTTTATTTTTATTGATTTTATATAGATTTTTTTTTATTGAGCTATGTTCTTGGATGAAATATTAGTGTACCAACGTGAAGAATATACCGTCATAATCTAGTGTTGAGAATATGCTGGGTGAATAGTCAAATTGGGTGAGTGTGTCTGGTAGCATGCTTACCAATAAAGTTCGATATATTAAAAGGTATTCTCTTAATATTTTAAATAGATAATGAATTTGGTAGTTTTTTTAACTCATAACAGTGGTGTTTGCATTGCTCAAGATATAAATGATTGAGTTGCTCATGACACCTGAAAGGATTTACCAGAACATTATTTTTTAAATTTCATGGGAAAAATGTCTAAACAGATGTTTAAGGCAAAATGCAAATGCGATCAATTTTAAAAATAATGGTTTTTTTCAATCACCTCATCATGTCTAACATCTTGTGTTTGCCAGACCAAGGTATGTATATCATATATTAAAGATCGAGACTTGCCCTTATCATATAAAAGATAAATTTAATGAAAGGTCTTTCTTGTAAGACGTAGACTTTTGTAATAATTGTTTTAAAACTTAGTAATTTTTTTTAAAGGATTAATAGTGTTATATTATAATGTATCAAAATTATACTCTTAAATGTTAGTTTTTTTTTTCCTTCATAATAATTATATTAAAGATTAAATGTACGGTGATTTCTTTAATTAATTAATAATGTAAAATTCTTGATAGCAACTATATATTGAAGCTATTCACTTTATTTATTATGTTTATAATTTTTTTTTAATTTTTTTTATTATAATTTTGCATATCAATTTTTCAGAAACTTTTCATTACTATCTCAAACTAGAGTGTATTTAAGCATCATCTTTAACGATAATGTTTTTAACTTTTTAACTAATCTTTGACTAAAGTGTTCCTTTTTCATAATCTCTCATCTTTAACAATTTATCCTTTTTATTTGAAATTAATATCATATTAAAATAAATGATCATTAATTCTATCTATAATTTCATATATAAACGAGTGTTTTTAGTTTTTGAACAATAACATTTTTTTTTTATTTTTTTAATTTCTTATTATTTTAATTTCTTATTTTATTTTTATATCTAAACTATTTTTTTAAAATAAATTATCAATAGTTAAAAATATGCAATCATATAAAATTATTAATATTTTTAACACTTGTTTAGTTACTCTTTTTTATTTTTAAAATAATCATAATATTTTTATTAGTGTGTGTGGGTTTAGGGTTATGAATTTAGGGTTTATGAATTACAATAATTAGTATCAATTTGATATTATTTACTAATATTTTATAATACTACTTTAATATTATTTGATATAAGTTGATTTTAAGGTGTATTAGATTGAAATTTTGAAAGACAATTTTAGTATGAAAAAATCTTACGAATTTTAATAGATTTTGTAGGAGTGTCATGATTTTATTTTTTTTTAAAACACTTTTAAAACTTGGATTTTAATCAAAATTTAAATTTAAATTTTAATGAATTTTAATGGATTTATATTATAGAATTTTCAAGGATTTTATGGATTTCACCGGAAAACATGGATTTGTAATACTACAAGATTTAATTAAAAAAATATAAAATAATAATAAAGAAAAATAAAACTAATACAATTTTTCTATCTTTTGAAAAATAAATGTCTTTATCTTTTGATAAATAATTGACTTTAATGTTCTCCTATCTAACATTTTGATGGAATCATGCTTTGGAGTGCAAGAGGTGACACACTCAAAGATCCAAGAGGAGTGGGCTAGACATGGAAGATTGGGCCAGTCAAGGCCCAATGGGCCCTATGGGCTTGGAAGGCCCAAACCAAGTTTTCAACATGGGCCTATATTGATATGAACATTCTTATTATATTTTGTTAGCATAGTTTGAATATATTTTGGTCCTGTATTTTGGACTACATAGAATAACATTTTAAGTTTTAGGCTTGTTGGGCCTAGTTTTGGGCTTCATGGGCCTTTGGGCTTTTGGTACCCAATATTGGGCTCATTTTCATTCTTGTAATTTTTCCTTTTCATTGTATTTGATTGACCATTGTAATTAGGTCATTAGAATAAGATTATACAAGGATTACTTAAATAGGCAAATTAGACTAACTTAGGTTTAATTTGGAAGTCATTTAAGTTACATTTGAGTCACATGTTTTGCACCATGGGTGGCTGAACATGTGCCACTCAAATTAACCCTAAATGACTCTCAAATCAAACCTAGATGCACCTTTGGTACCTAAAGTTTCGGCCAAACACATGAGAGCCAAAATTTGAATTCAAATTTCAAATTTGAATTCAAATTTTGGGCGCCACATGCAAGCTTTGACTTAGGCGCCCAAAAGTGTGCATAACCGGATGCTTATTTAGGTGCTTCTTCTACTCTTTGTACTCACTTTTGAGATTAATAAAATTGGAGAGCTTATTCTGCCCAATTTTCTCTTGAGAGTCACCATGAGAGAAAACTTCACCTTAGGAACCCTACTAGGTTTTCCTCCTCTTTGAAGTGAGCTTTCCCTTGAACCTTAAGCTTGGATGCTTCCATCCAAGGCTTAAGCCTTCTTCCTATCCGAGAATCCTCCTCCTTCTAGTGTTCATCCACTTCGGTTTGCATCTCCTTGAAGAAGATCCGAGCTAGAGAGAAGATTAGGAGAAGAACACCTATCACTCCTCCTCACCTTCTCCATCACATTTCTTCAAATATCTAAAGTTATATTAGTCTCATGCATTGACATATTTTCTTTCATGTACTTGAGTCTAAACAATATATTTGTCATATTATTTTTTATGAACTTGAGTCTGAACAATATGTTTAACTAGTAGTATTGAAGATGAAGATTCATCCACTAATTCAATTGAAAATTTAACTGAACAACATTTTTTGCGAAGAAAGTTATGTGATGCTACATGATAATACAAGTTCAATTTTGGTCTTAAATAGAAATAGAGATCTTGGCTTAAAAATTGTGTACCATGATTTAAATATATTCTCTCAATCATGTTTTTAAAGAATACATGACGCAAATTGAAAACTTCATTTTCATTTTGAGAGTCATTACTATGACATGCAAAGTTTTTTAATATATGTTTCAAAATTTTATATTTCAATATTAAATTTTATTAAAAATAAATAGTTAAATTTAATAATTTTAAAAATTTAATAATAGATAACATTTAATAATACAAAAATTATTTTAAATATTTAATAATTAAAAAAACAAAATATTGATAAATTATGCATCAATTCATAAGTTAAAAAAAAAAGATAGGTGGAGAAGAAGAAGAGATAAATGAGATGATGAATAAAAAGAGAAAAAGAAAAGAGATAAAGAAGAAAGAGAGAGAGAGAGAAAGAGAAAGAGAAGAAAGAAATGCGAGAGAAAAAAATAATATGAGACGATGAAGAAGAAGAGATAAATGAAAGACATAAATAAAAAGATAAAAAAAAAAAAGAAAGAAAGAAAATGAGACAGAGAAGAAAAGAAAAGAGAAAGGTAAGAATGATAAGAGAAAATGAGAGAGAAAAAAAGAATATAGTAGAGAAGTAAGAAAGGGAGAAAAAATATTTAATAGAGAGAAAAAAGAAAAAGTTGAAATACAAGTGGAAAAAAAAGTCATGTGAAATCTCAAAATTTTTCCTGAGATTGTTTGATGATGAATTACATGTAAATTATATTAAAAAATCTTACAAAATATCATATTCAAAATAATCCGTTGAAATCTCTATATTTTTGAATACCAATAAATTTTTTTAAGTAAAAAAAGTTTTAATTGAATACAATTAAATTTTAATAAATTCTTAAAAAAATCTTAATTATCTTAATTGAATATCACCACATTTTAACGGACTATTAAAAAATTTTAAAAAATTTTAGATTGTTTTGATTGAATACCACAAGAAATTTTTATAACAATTTTTTTTTATTTTTAAATCTATTGAAATCTTAATTCAATATATCCCGTTAAGAGAATTGTGGTTGATGTATACTTTTGATAACATTTTTATTCTATTATTAACATATTTATAATTAAAAGATATAAGATTATAAGAGATTTATTTGTTTGTTTTTTAATTTAAGTGAGTTAAGTTGTGGTGGCTTGAGTTAGTTTTTGTTATACCCATTAATATGTGAGCTGGGATGATTATCCCATCTATTATTTAACTTGTGACAAATGACTATTTTGACAATTCTAAATCAAACTTCAAAATTACAGTGTATGTGTCCATTAAACTTGAAAATGTTTCAGTAAAAAATCAATAAAAATTGCTTACCAAACCATTTACGCAAATCAATTTATACAAAATTGATTTATTTTAGTTAATGATTTCGAATTCCGACATAATATGCAATTGTGATCAACAAACCGAAGAAGAATTCTATTGTCCAATGATTACAAGCAGAAGATACATGATATTTAAAAAAAAAAAATTACAAAACATTTTCCATTACCACTCACTTACTTTGTTTATAGTATATATAGGCATTGTCATATATTTTATCCCTAATTTCTCAATTTATTGGAACATGAACTCATCATCTAATTCAGGGATGATTTTTGTCCATTCCCGCCGCATAAATTGGTTTCTAAAATAGAGAAACCACTCACTACCTTAGTACATTTCCTTTGAGGCATAATAACAATAATAATATTCTTCAATTGAACGAGAACAATTATTGTAGCTTAAAGCCTTAAAAGGGAACGAGTATGTCACACATTTCCTACTTCTACTCATTATTTCCAGTCTCTAAATTTTAAGAATAAATTTTAACACGAGCTATATTTCCTTTCTTAATGTAATTGCAGTTTCAAAGGAATTGATTTGCTAGTGGTTGCCTTCTCAAATTTAAACAAATATGCCTATATTTTATTTTTAATGGATGACTTAATTTTCATGTGCTTATTTCCACCTTCCATAGAGTTCCATTATTATTATTATTATTATTATTATAAAATTTCTTTTACCTTCATTCCTTAACTATTAACTGCATGAATTAAAAAAAGAAAGCAAGATAAATAGAT